ATTACATTCTACAGATGTTTTTTTTATGATTGAGTTGCTCACCAGTATACATTCCATAGCTGTACCATGACCATTTTTCTCTTATCTATTACATCCTACAGATGTTTTTTTTATGATTGAGTTGCTCACCAGTATACATTCCATAGCTGTACCATGACCATTTTTCTCTTATCTATTACATCCTACAGATGTTTTTTTTATGATTGAGTTGCTCATCAGTATACATTCCATAGCTGTACCATGACCATTTTTCTCTTATCTATTACATCCTACATATGTTTTTTTTATGATTGAGTTGCTCACCAGTATACATTCCATAGCTGTACCATGACCATTTTTCTCTTATCTATTATATCCTACAGATGTTTTTTTATGATTGAGTTGCTCACCACTGTACATTCAATAGCTGTACCATGACCATTTTTATCTTATCTATTACATCCTACAGATGTTTTTTTATGATTGAGTTGCTCACCACTGTACATTCAATAGCTGTACCATGACCATTTTTTATCTTATCTATTACATCCTACAGATGTTTTTTTATGATTGAGTTGCTCACCAGTATACATTCAATAGCTGTACCATGATCATCATTTTCCTTTTATCTGTTACATCCCACAGTTTTATAATATAACATTAAAGGACAACAAGGGACCTTTTGGTCCATCTAGGCTGTCCTATTCACTAAATTAAACAATCTTAAAGCTAGCCCTTATTCAAATATTTATCAAACTTTCCTTAAACTACCTTAAATTAACTGTATCCACCACATTTTAAGGCAACCTAGTCCAGAGGCCAACCACCCTGTTAGAAGAATATAACTCTTTTAGCTGAAGATGACTTTGCCCCTGCAAATACTTGTACATGTGTCCCCTAGTCTTACCATTCTCACCACTGAAAATTAAAAAAGGTGATGCATCAACATTATCAATTCCCTTAAAAATCTTAAAAACCTTAATCAGATCCTTTCCTTTTTTTTCAGAGAAAACATATTCAGAGATCTTAACCTATCCTCATCTGATAACATTTCCATCCCAAGTATCATATCCTGGTAGCCTTCCTCTGTATCCTATTAGCCTTTCCAACAAATCACTGTCCTTTCTAAAATACGAAGCCTGAGACTGAACACAATACTTCAAATATGGCTTAACTAATAACCTATACAATACCATTATAACATCTTTAAACTTGTATTTAATATTTTGCAGATACAACCTAAAATCCTATTTGGCCTGCAACTAGGAACAGCACACTGCTTAGATAGCTAAAGAGAATTATCAACCAGAACACCACGATATTTTTCTTCCATAACACTGTTAAGGTTATTCCCATCAAAATTATACTCATAATTGAAATTGTGATATCCTACCTATGTTACCTTGCATTTATCATAATTAAAAGCCATCTGCCATTTATTTATCCAGCTCACCAAATAATCCAAATCCTTTTGTAAGGCAGTAGCATCTTTCTCACAGCTAGTAACACCCCAGATATTGATGTCATCAGCAAATTTAAATGATCTCTTGACAATCTATGTCATTGATGTAAACCAAAAAGAGCAAAGGGCCTAACACTGAACCCCAAGCTACCTCACTTGTGACATTAATCTAATTTAACTGAACTCATTTCATAACAACCCTCTGATTTCTTCTTTCTAGCCAGTTTTCTATCCAATGATCCAACCTCACCCCTACAAATACAAAGAACTTTTTAACAAACCTTTTATGTGACACTTTGTCAAATCCTTTCAGAAAATCCAGATACATCACATCCACACCTGTACCCTCATCTACATCAGCAGTAACCTCTTCAAAGAATGTCAAAAGATTAGTTAGTGAAGCTCTGCTGATTCTGACTGAGTTGTCTGGCATTGAAACCATCTTAGTAGTGAGTGTTCTAAAATTATCTTGCTAAAGGTTAACTTTGGAGAAACACAAAGGCTAAAAGTTATGTTGTATTTTCAATGTGTGTATATTACAATTTAAAGCAAATAGTTCTTCATCCTAAATCCAACATTTATTTTTCAAATCTCTATTTTTACACTGTATACTGATAATTTGATCACACATTCTTTGTAACATTTATTATTTAGCATCTGATTATGTAATATCCACAGAAAAATACCAGTTTTTACAGTTCCTCATTTCATGTTTAGTTTAAATACACTTAACTTACATTTATCTGTTAAATAGAAGAAAAAAAAATACTTTTCATCCAAACATCAAATGAGTGGATTTTCCCACTTGTTTAGGATCATTGTTTCCAGTAGCAGTTAGAAATTCAGCAAAGAATTTAGAATTTTTCAAGAGCAAACCCTGTGCATGTGGAAGAATAAACAAAGATTCTTATGGATAATGTTTCGGACTGCTGGTTATGCTTCATCTAAATATATTTTATATATGTGTGTGTGTGTGTGGCGAACAGTTGAAAGTAGATTACTTTTAAGATGTAATTGTAAAGGCTGTAAACCATTGCTTATCGTGTTTTATTTTTTACCCACTTTACTAAAAAAAAGCATAAAATAATTTCCAGTAATATCACATATTTTTCTGGAACTTTTTTGGTTACACAACAGAATGAATGTATATTGTTTTCCTTTTCACTAAAATCAAATGATTTATCAAAATAAAATGGTACATGTATTAGTACTGTGGTCTATTTGTCAGAAAAATGTATTAGAAAGGCTAGTTCTTGTTCCCGAAGGTTAAACCTGCATAAGGAGTCAATATTATCCTTTTATATAAGAAAGCATATTTTTACTCTTTATTGAAATATTTAAAAAAAACAAAAAACATGGTGTAAAACATTCAGTGACATTTGGTATTTAATTGTAGTTATTGAGGAAGAACTGTAGCATTTATTTCTATTGTTACGACAGTGGGGTCACGTGACGAGTATTCTAGAAGATTCGCTAGTGTGTTATGACAGCGGAAGTCAAGTGACGCTGGTAGCACGTGTTGAGAATCTTAGAAGTTTCTAGAACAGGCAGTATTATCATATATAAGTGCGCTAGACAGTGAGAGAGAGACAGACGGAGGCAGAGACGAAGCAGGCAGAGAGAAAGAAAGACAGCGATTACGGTCGGCGGGAAGTGAGGATAGCAGACACAGAGATCGGAACTATAGTTGGCGGGGACGGACAATTAAGTCTAAGCGCGATAGAAAGTGAGTGAATTGTTGTGAACTATAGTGTGT